GCCAAACTAATTTGATCTCATTTTTTAATAAGGTCACCTCAATGATATACAGGGAATGCTGTAGACGTAGTATATCTTGACTTCAGCAAAGCTTTGACAAACGAGCTCCATGATATCCTGATTAGCAAGCTAACTAAGTGTGGACTGGATAGATCAAGTGTCAGGTGGATACACAATTGGCTACAGACTTGTAGTCAGAGGGTGATGATTAATGGGTCCTTCTCTAACTGGGAGGAGGTAACTAGTGGGGTACCCCAAGACTCAGTCCTGGGCCTAGTGCTCTTCAATATTTTTATTAATTACCTGGATGAGGGAGTGCAGAGAATGCTCGTCAGATTTGCTGATGATATGAAATGGGTGGAATAGATAATACCCCAACCTTTTTGGGACCGTGGACCAGCTGAGCCTCTGAGGAAGGCGGCTCCCACTCGCACGCGGGCGCTCTTGGGAGCATGCTCTCTCTCTCTTGAGCGCATGTGTAAAGTGGTGGAGAAGCATGTGTGCGCCAGTGCCGACATGAGCACTCCCCCACCCCTTTGCGCCTGCGCAGGAGCGCCAGCCCGTGCACCCGCCCATCCCATTCGCACAGGTGCTCTGGCACTCGGGTGCATGTGTGAAGGGGTGGGGGAGCACTCGCGCCGGGACTGGCATGCGCATGCATGCGCAAGGCAGCTGTGGGGAGGGGAGTACATGCGGGGGGGGAGGTGTGTCTCCACGGCCAGTCCAGTTCAGGACCGAGAAATGACGACCTCTGGGGAGGGGAGTGCATGCGGGGGGGGAGGGCTGTCTCCATGGCCAGTCCAGCTCAGGACCGAGAAATGATGACCTCTGCCCTAGGAGACAGAAACAAAATTCAAAATGACCTTGATAGGATGGAACAGTGGGCCGAAAGCAACAGAATGAAATTCAACAGGGATACGTAAGTGCAAAGTCTTGCACCTCGGAGGAAGAAAACAATTGCATATTTACAAGATGGGGGATACCTGGCTCAGCAAACCTACGAGCAAGAAAGATCTTCAAATTGTCATAAATCACAAGCTAAATATAAGCCAACAGTGTGATGTGGCTACAAAAAAAGGCAAATGCTATTTTAGGCTGCATTAATCGAAGTATATTCCAAATCCCGCAAGGTACTAGTCCCCTGTGTTCAGCACTGATTGGGCCTCACCTTGAGTATTGTGTCCAGTTCTGGACACCACACTTCAAGACGGATGCTAACAACTTGGAGCAAGTTCAGAGGAGGGAGACAGGATGATCAGGGGGCTGGAAACCAAGCTCGAGGAAAGGCTGAAAGAATGAGTGTGTTTAACCTTGAGAAAAGAAGACTGAGGAGTGATGTGATAGCACTTTTGAAATATTGGAAAGGCTGTCATACAAAGCAGAGGCAAGATCTGTTCTTGATCATTCCAGAGTGCAGGACACGCAACAATGGGCTCAAGTTAAAGGAAGCCAGATTTTGGTTGAATATTAGGAAAAATATACAGCAGTGCGACAGTGGAACCAGTTAACCTGGGATTTGGTGGAGACATTCAGGAAAAACTTAAATAATCACCTGGCAGATATGCATTGAGCAGGGGGTTGGACTTGATGGCCTTGTAGGCCCCTTTCAACTTTACTTTTTTATGATTCTAGTAGCGTTATAGAACTACTGCTGGGACAGAAGCTGGAAGACTTTAGCCAGAAAACACAGAAGGATTTAATCTTCTGAGCAGCTATTCAAAGAGCAGCATGATTCTGTCTCCGAATGTCTGGAGTTGGTTATCTTGGTAGAAGAGCAGTGTGTAATTATTTTTCTGCTTAACTTCCTAGGTTTCTTGCAATATATTCCGGACGCTTCCTCCTAGTGATAGTAATGAGTTTGATCCAGAAGAAGATGAACCCACCCTTGAGGCATCATGGCCACATTTACAGGTGATTCATTTATTAAATTGTTTTATACATTAAAAAAATACTATGCATTTAACTTGTTTGTTAAAAAGCCAGAAGGAGACTAGAGTGTCAGTATATAAAGTGTATGGATACATGCATTTTTCTTCATAGTCTTTGTACATTCATACACATGGATCCATGCCTGTGTAGAGCCATCATTTGGAATCATCTAGATAGAGGGAGCCTGGGCGGTAGCCCAACCCCTCCTGTCTGAGGCCACGCACGACTGGACTGTGCCCTAGTTCTGCTTTATCCACCACAGTGGCCAGACCTAGAAAGAGACCTGAGAGAAAAATTTTAAAAGATACTTGTAGTTTTGGTAGCTTGTTTATTTTTCTTCTTCATTATTGCGTGAAATAGGAACATTCTGCATGCAAGCAAGTGCTCCACCACTGAGCTTCAGCTCCACTGCCCAGTAAAAGGTGCTGATGATATAGCTAGTCTTTTGAAAAATGCAGGGGCACATTTTGGGGAGGTAGTTGTTTCCTGTAGTCTTTGGCTCTCTATTGTCTTTTAGATAGCTAAAATACTTAGGATACATTTACATTGGGCTACAGTTTCCAAAAAGGGACGTGGTGGCGCTGTGGGCTAAACCGCAGAAGCCTGTGTTGCAGGGTCAGAAGACCAAGCAGTCGTAAGATCGAATCCACGCGACGGAGTGAGCGCCCGTTGCTTGTCCCAGCTCCCGCCAACCTAGCGGTTCGAAAGCATGCAAATGCGAGTAGATAAATAGGTACCATCTCGGTGGGAAGATAAACAGCGTTCCGTGTCTAAATCACACTGGCCATGTGACCACGGAAAGATTGTCTTCGAACAAACGCTGGCTCTATGGCTTGAAGAGCGGGATGAGCGCCGCCCCCTAGAGTCGGACACGACTGGACAAAAATTGTCAAGGGGAACCTTTACCTTTTTACCTTTTTACAGTTTCCAAAACCAGTTTTGCCCAGTGTGTAGCATTAAAATGCCAGTTTAATTGCTTCCTTGTATTCCTGTCTACACAGAGCAGAAATGGACTAGTTCAGTTACTTCTTTATAAAATGATTTAGGCATCGAGCCACATCCTTTGCATGCAAAATGTCAAAGAATGAATTAATTGCATCTTCAGGTCAGGCAGGAAAGAAAGTTTGTAGAGCTACTGTCACTCAAGATCATCAATACAGAATTCGGTGGATTTGCCTCAGTTGGTTTCAGGCTCCCATATAAGTTTGTGTGTCATGGACCACATGTGCAGCTGTTGCCAGGTAGTCTCTTGGGTATTTCAACTTCTTTGAAGGGAGGACACATTGAGCAAGAAGAAGGTGCATAAACCTGTCCTTGCTCCAAACGGAGTTGCCCCAGTAACTTTTCATCCACAGTTACCATGTGGAAGGAGGTGGTGGAGTGCGATGAAGGGGATCATGGAAACTGGACAAGAAAAGGGGAGAGGTGGCCTCTCTTTCTGGCAATTCTCTTAGGTCAACTCTGCCTTCCCAAAATGTCTTTTAAAACAAAACAAAAAAGGGCCTGGTGTATTAGCATTGCAGATATTTACATGTAATGTTAATTTTGGCCCTCGTTGGGTTTGCGTGCGAGAGAAAGAGCGCATGCAAGTGTCCTTTAGGGTAGAGACAGGCAAAATCTTTTCAGCAAGCTTAGAGAGACCTGATTAAATCACATTATTCTGCATCAGACATCTGTGTCATAGAAAAATGCTTCTGAACATTTCCTAATTACTATTAAATGTTTCCGAACTGTTTCACCAACTCTTGTCAACATGGTAATTACTTTAGTTTATATGATTTCAAGAGTCTGGAGGGCAGAGGAATGTGTTTGCTGATTACCCCTGGGAGCTTTGACAAGCCAGTGAACAAATATTACAGGGCTGGCAGAGCCTGCTCTTAGCATGGGCTAGAATTCTTCTGATGATGGCTAAATACAATGAATAAATGGGCACTAATTTTGTCTTCCTTGTATTGTGTAGCTTTCCTGGTCTCATGGAAGTATGAGGTTTTTTAATTTGGATTTGTATTGCATCTTATCTTGAAGGCTCAAGGTAGTATGGGTAGACATCTGTCAGTTTTTTTTTTGAAAGGTTAGCAATAAAATAATTCACAGGAGTGGGCCCAGGGAGTAATGGGGAAGTTGCAGAGAGGGAAAGGTCTACTGCTCTGGTCATGAGATTTTAATTTTATTTTTAAAAGTTTGATTCAGCTGCAAAATCTTCCCATGCTTTGAACATTTTGTATCTCTGTGTCGAAAGGGAGATACAGATGAGGTAGTTTGGAAGATCTAAGACCAGGCATGTAGGTGTCTTATTTGCCTCCCCCCCTCACACTTCCTCTTGTATAGAAGCAAAATACTTAATAACTTCGGTAAAACGAAGCATGCCTTTAGCCATGACTGAATTGTCTTTAATTTCTTGCAGCTTGTATATGAATTTTTCATACGATTTTTGGAAAGCCAAGAATTCCAGCCCAGCATTGCCAAAAAGTATATAGATCAGAAATTTGTATTACAGGTAAGCACAATGTTGGCCGTCAATGCTTGAGAAGTAACTTTCTGGTATTAGTCTGGCAGGAAGAATAAATTCCTGATGAACATTATTGTTGCAGTTGGTTGTTCTGTGTGGTCAAGTCTCTTCCGACTCATGGTGACCTTGCGAATGAGCTGCCTTCAAAATGTCCTGTCTAACAACCCTGCTCACCTCTTGCTAACTCAAGACTGTGACTTCCTTTATTGAATCAGTTGCAGAGTTAAGCTAGGGAAAGGAGCAGCTTCCCCCAAGGAACGAGAGTTCCAAAGACAGACAGATCAGTTAGGTTCATGTTTGTAGATGTTTCAAGTTAGGCACCATCACTGAGCTGTCTGCTTTGTTTCTTTCTTAAAATAGCTTTTGGAGCTATTTGACAGTGAAGATCCTAGAGAGCGGGACTACCTGAAAACCGTCTTACACAGAATTTATGGCAAGTTCCTCGGTCTTAGAGCATTTATCAGAAAACAAATTAACAATATTTTTCTACGGTGAGTGTTGGGCTTTTTTTTACAAAAAGAAAAATTGTTTGTGGGTTTTCATGGGTTATATAAGTAAATAATTATGAGCATTTAATTCATGTGATTTGTTTGGACAGGTTTGTTTATGAAACTGAACACTTCAATGGTGTAGCTGAACTGCTGGAAATATTAGGAAGGTAATGAAGTTTAATTTTAATGGTTGATCTTACCTGCATATCAGCTTTTGTCCCCCTCAGTGCTAGCATACTGTCATTTGTCAACCTTACACTTGTCTTTTCCTCTGTCCATCTCTGTCACGTGGCACACTACATCTGTGTATGTGGGAGCAAAGCTGTAGATGGTTCTTCTTGAAACTCAGAAAAGAGGTCACAACTCTGAACGTTGGCCTCCTGTTTCCAAGAAGCCAGACCTAGGTTTCCCTTGACAGACAACAGAGTAATTTGCCTAGTCTGGGATGCTGAATTGTGTGAATTGGCTTGAACTGGTCTTTCTAGTATTCCTCTTGAAATGGATATTGAACTGCTTGTAGGGATTGCTAGAGAGTTGGTGTTTCACTGAATATTCCAGTTCTAGCACAGTAGTTCTCACCAATATTTAATATAAATATGTTGTTTTTCAAAAAGTGGGGGCTCTTGATCCTTAGCTATAGGGCATCTAAGTTTAATTGAGGACATCAAGTTTTTCTTTGGATTCAAGTTCCCGCTGTGGATTCTTGTATGGCCTACAAACAAGGCGTGTTTACTCACTCTTGTATCCAAAGATTATACCTTCAATGAGATCAGGATTAAATTTCACATTCATGTGCCCCCTTTCTCAGTTCCCTTCCTAAATTTAACGGGCTCATTATATTCTCCATGCCCT